TATTAAAACTGTGTCTATGTGGGCCCCAATCCTGAGAGGCACTTAAACATATACATTTGACGTCCCATGGACTTCAGTTAGACTGCTTGTCTCAGCAAAATTATGCAGAGTTGGAACCTTTCTTTGTAAACTACAGTGGCTCCATTGACAAGGAATACTACATAGACAAGGGGTCAGCAACCTTTCAGAAGTGGCATGCCAAGATTTAACTTACTCACTTCTATTTACGGATCTGTGTGTTGAGGGAGCAGGGGCAGGCTGGCTATTGTGACCATGTTTTCTGCTGCTAAGGAGAATGGTTTAATTGTTAAACAGATTACGCATTTTAACTTGTGTTAGTTTATCAAATTTCATTTTAAATAAAGTAAAATGTTAATCTATGTCCAACAAAAGGTTTCAAGGTTTTCTTTATTTATGGCAGGAGTGAGGAACCTTTTTTCGGTTGGGAGCCACTGACCCACAGAAAAAATCAGTTGGGTACCACATAAGCAAGAAGCAAAAAAACTCCTCAAACCCCCTCCCTCACTGATGTGGTCCCTGACTGAGACGCCTCACTCCTCTGGCGCTCCAGCCCCACAGGGTGAGAGGAAGGGACAGGGAGGACTGAGGTTAAGGGCTTCCCATAGGCCAGATTTACTTTTCTGGGGTTCCAGAGTTAGTGGATTTGGTAGACCCCATTAGTCTCTGGGCTGGGGACAAAAATAAGGGGTTCAGTGTGCAAGACGGGTGCAAGTATATGGGATAGCGATGGGGTGCAGGGTCTGGGCTAAGGGTGGGGTGCAGAAGGAGAGGTTGCAATATCTGGGTAGGGGATGGGGTGTAGAAGGGAGAGCAGTTCTGAGGTCTGGTGGGAGGTAGGGTGCAGAAACAGGCTGGGAGTAGGGTGTTTGGCCAGGGAGAGGGAACAGGAGTAAGGAAGGGTACAGTATGTGGCCAGGAGTTAGGGTGCAGGAGCAACAGTGGATGCAAGAGCAAGGTGGGAGTAAGTGTTTGGCCAGGGGAGACTGTGGGAGGGGATTTCCCCAGTGGGGTGAGAAGAGAGAGGGTACTCATGTCCCCTCTCCCCTCCCCCACCCCCACCAGACCTGGCTCCCTGTTGCTTCCCCAGCAGGGAGGGATGGAGAGCGGGAGCGCACCTGCTGAGCCCAAGTGCACTCTGTAACGCCTCTGCCAGGGCTGAAGCAGAAGCTCTTAGGCACAGAGGAGGAGGTGGCGACGCAGCCAGACCGGGGGTCCCATGCACCAGAGGCAGTCCCACGGGAGGAGACTGCGTGGCATGTGATTGAGTGGGGGCAGTGGGTGGTGGAATGGCCAGAAAACGCGCACCACCGGAAGCAGGCCTGGCTACCCACCAAAAAAGCTCCAATGGAGCCGTGTACGCACTCTGTGGGGAGAGGGGGGAAAGGGGTTACTGTGCTACATAAGGAGCAATGGCAGTTAAAATTGGGACAGTCCAGTATGGTCAGTGTACGGATCTGAAAGGGAGGCTCTCATGCCAGTGAAAATCGACTCACATGCCTCTTATGGTATGCATGCCATAGGTTGCTGACCCCTGATATAGACGAAAGGTGGGTTTTTGTTATATTAAGCCATGTTGTTGAGCTGTCCATGGTAATTTACTTCAGCATGCAAGTGTGTTGTGTTTTGCTGTTTCTTCGTTGAAGAAGTGACAGCTACCAATAAATCCCTTCCAGTGGGCAATTTAAATGAACTAGCCTCTTTCCAGTGCCAAAAAATATAGCAGAATCCTATTCTAATTCTCAAGATACTGTGTGTTGACCGCTTCTTTCCTGCCATAAGACCTCTCATTTCCATTCTCCACTGCTGTGTCCTCTTGGATCTGTCCAAGCCTCTAGTGGTAACAGCAGTTATATTAAAGTAGATACTCCAACAGCAATATCAAGACCCCTTCCTTTCTAACAATTAGTGGCTATAGGTATGTGGTAGAAACAGAGCAATTATTCGAGATCAAAGATCCTTTGTTTTTGTGCAAATTTTAATAACAAAGGGTAAGGAAACAAGTATAAATTGCTGAACAGATAAAAAACCAGTTCAATTGTTTTCCAAATGGTTGCATTCTGGTGTCTTCTCCTAATTTATGTATCAGCCAGTTAGGGAAGGATAAGTGCTCCTTTGTAGGCAGGGGAGCCAGCCGGAGTGCACGGCGCAAGGCTCTGGAGCATGCTGCATGGTGCTTCAGGGCAGTTCTAAAGGTCCCAGGGATCTAGCCACTGCCAGTAGCAGCAGTAGTGGCCAAAAGCCTGGGGCCCTTTAGAATCACCAGGCCCCCCACCTCTTTGCCCCACTAGCAGTGGGTCTGTTTGTAGGATACCAAAGTAAAAGGGTGATGGGGTGTGTGTGTGTGAGAGGGGGAGAGAGAGAAAGACATCACATGGCTTCTCTTCAGCAGTTTTTCTTAGCACTAAAGACAAATATTCCCATGACCCTTTTAAATAATGGCAGTCTGGCACAATCCATACCTGCTATCACACAGAGAAAAGTTTGACGCCAAAGACGACCAACTCAGAGAACAATAAGATTCTCAGATTTTTCTTCCTACTGTGTTTGTTGATTTGCAACTAGCCATATCTAATGCTTTCGGATCAATCTGAAGATGTGGGGCTCTAATGAACCATGCTGAAGATGTTAAAGAGACCATTGTGATGCTTGTTGTATAAAGGAATGTATAAACAGGCCTTTCTCTTTACTTTAAGGAAACTTGCCAAGTGTTAGGGGATATACAATACTTCCTTTGACATTGCTGTAAATAAGAGGATCCCTCATTCTGAATCTCTCACACGACTGCCTGAATATTTCAAGGCAACTTTCAGCTTTTTTTTATAACATATAAGCCCTCATTTTGGATCCAGACCTACATGTCCCACATAATGTACTGCTGTTTCGCTTTCTCTTACTATAAATTATAGTATTGCACACTTTGTGCATTGGGAAAACTCATTATTAGTTATAGAGTTTAATTCCTCACCATTTTATTTTTTCATCTCCACTTTTGCTAAAGGAAGATGTTCACATTAGGGAGGTTGCACAGTTAGAAGATTAGTACTTCATAGCAAGTGGCTTTTGATCTACAGTATTTGACACCCTCACCATTTCCTTTGTGCTTGCATTGATTTGTTGTGACTTATCTATACAAAAGAAGTGGAAAAAATGTTGGTGATACACAGAGTTGTCTCTTGGTCTTACGTTTCCATCTAGTGGAAAAGTGGGAAACCACAAAAGTAAACATTCTTGTTTGTACCAGAGCTAGCTCTTGCATGTGTTTTTCTTTGACATTAAAATAAAGCCAGTTCTTCATAGAGAAAAGACAGCTTGCTTTTCTTAAATGATCGATTTTATTAGATGTTGAGTTGTGTTATGTGAACTTATCATTTGTGAAAGGTATCTCATGGCTGGAAATGAAAACTGAACTCCTATAGACACAGGAAATGCCAGGATTCTCCAGACAGTCCAGCCCATGAACTTTAACCATGCAGGAATCACCATTAGGAGTGAGAAGTCCCCATACACAGCCAATCCTTGGTATGTCTGCTAAGGCTTTCCACTAGGCACTAGACTGTAACTCACCAAACTCATTTCACAAAGGGAAACAAATAATCATCAGGTGGTAACAACTGTGTATTGTTACTAATATGCTGTCTTAATACAGGTAATACACAGGTTTGTGGCACTATATCTCATTACCAAACCTCCTTCCCCAACTATCTATCTAGATTAGAACAAGAAGGAAATACAAAGTACTTGGTATGTTTTTAATTACTAGGCCTGGCTATTTTGGTGGACATTTCCCCCTAGCTAAAGTTTACAGCAAAGAAAGTCAATTAAAAATTACATTGGAAACAATGGTTCCATTAAGCTCTAATAAATATTGGCTATTTAATCTTCCAACTAGTTGAGGAAAGTTTTCCCAAGCTAGGTGTGAGTACGTATTTGTGTACCCTTAAATTATGCTCATTCATTTGTATGAAACTAGTTTACACATGTAATTGTGGCCAATTAGGAGCTTAGCTTGCCAGATGTGGTCTAAAATACAAAATTAATGCAAATATCTAGAGACAATTTCATTAATTGAATAGTCATGTTCAAATTAGGGGTGTTAAAGATCAGTTAATTGAATAGTCGAGTAACCTTATCGGTTAGTCAACTGTTCTCTAGTCCCCAGGGGCAGGGATAGCAGCCACTTTATCAGAGGCAGCAGTGCAGGGTGTCTGGCGGGAGCTCATCCACTAGGGGAGCCAGTTTAAAAGCCAGCTCCCCTTGTGGACCAGCTGCCTGTTGTCCAGTGCTACTGCCTCTGATAAAGAGGCAGCAGCACAGGGTAGCAGCAGCCCCTGTCTAAGGTGGGTCTGTTCTTCCGGACCTGTTGCGAGCCAGAACTGAGCCAGGCTACCTGCCTGCCTGGCTCCTAATACACTTTAAATGCAGAGCCGCAGCAGGAGTAATCGTGGACCCCAGGGCCAGATTAAGACCTTTAGAGGCCCTAAGCACTGAAAAGATTATGGTGCCCCCACATATGTAATTCAAAATAAAAACAATACTATACCGTAAAATCTCTTTGTGCCCCTGCTTTGCTGGTGCCCTAAGCACGTGTTTAGTCTGCCTATTGGGTAATCCAGCCCTGATGGACCCAGTGCAAGCCAGAACTGAGCTGGGCTGCTGGCCAGCCTGCTAATAAATTTACTGGAAAGGGTGAGGGGAGTGAAGTGCGTGTAGTCTATAGCATTAACCTATAAGCTTTTGCTTATCCGTTAATCGACTGCACAATTACATCCCTAGTTCATATGTGCATATGCAAATATGTATGTATAGTTTTGAAAGTTTGGTTCACTGTGCTTTGTCCTTTTCTAAAACTTTAATATTACAAATTACTACATAAAGAAGGCTGGAGAAATTTTTTTAATCAATAATGTAGTAGGACAGTGCCATACTTCTAAAGAAGAATGTGAATTTTTTATCAGATCCCAATATTTTTTCTTTTACAGAACATAGGAAACTTGGAAATCTGACTGTGACCGTGAAAAAGACCGTCCCTTCTCCAGAAGCCATTCAGATCCTGTACCAGCGCATGAGATACGAATACGAGTTTTATTACTATGTCAAAGAGCAATTCCACCTGCTAAAGCGCAAGTTTGGACTTAAGTCTCATAGCAGTGAGCCGCATCCCAGGCCAGAATTCTTTATTCCTTCTCCCCTGGAAACTGAAGAACCCATAGATGATGAGGAGCAAGATGATGAAAAGTGGTTAGAAGATATCTATAAAAGGTGATGCAAGCACCAAGTCCTCCTCTGGTGACCTATCAGCTTTCTCAATATTTTTTTTTATTGTTAAAAAAAATATTCCTTAAGAGACTGAGTTAATGCGCAGCAGCATTTAAAACAAAAAAGAAGTTCCCATGTGTTGGGGCGATTGAGAGACACCCGGTTTTGCGGGTTATAGTTGTTTAAATTTATTGTATTTTTCTTGGCTCCATGCGATCCTTTACGGAACATATTTTAATATTGAACCATCTATCACCTCATCACAAAATAACTTTTGCACAGTAAAATGCTGCTGTACACATGAACCCATTTGCAGAACAAGATATATTATGTTAAACATAATTTACAAAGTAACTTTCATAAAATCCTTCTGTCACCAGTCAGTTTTAATACTATGCCCATTGTTGTGGCATTGAACATCAACACCATTTATAAAGTAGGAGGATACCACAGGAGCATAGTAACAACCTCTGATTAGAAAGCAACAATAAATGATTAGTTGATCAGAGCCGTTGTTACAACTAGGAAAGTTCAAACTGTAGTGGACTCAAAACAGAGTAGATAGTCTCCCTTGGGGAGCTTCCAGTGAGAGGAGTTCAATCTACACTTCAAGCAAATTAGATCGGGAGAAAAACAGGTTAAAGAACCCAGTTAGCCAGAAGGGTTCACAGACTCAAAGTGGAAAAAATTTTCAGTTAATTTGAATGACTGAGATAACTGAGTAGATGGGAAGCCAAAGGAGCAATATTGTGTGGCCTTGGGATTTTGCTAGTACAGTTGAAAATGTTCTTAGGAGGAAGATGTGTGATGCATAGTTTTATTTTAAAGAAAAAAATATAAACTATTGTCATTCCTAGCATGGGCACAGACCCAAAATTACACAAGAAGTTTTTTTCATACAGGAAACTTAAAACCATTTGGGGATCTTTCCTTTAGCGTGAACATTTATTTAATCTCAGTTCTGTGAGTCTTCATATCTCATGCAAATAATTGTCAGAATTAAGGTGAAATACAGGTGAGGATTTGTATAGAAATGAAGTAAAATGATTTTTAAATGAGGGATTTTTTTTTAATGAGACATTGACAGATATGACTGATGTTTTACACACTGTGTAATGATAAAACAACAGAAAAATATCAATATAGCATTGAAAAACAAAACATGTTCAATTTTAAATTTAAGTATCGTTGTCAGGAAACACTAAAAAGTGGAGTGAATGGGATTAGGTGATGAATTGGGGACCGTTCCACTTAAGGTATCAAAAGGATTTCTGATTACAATTTTGTGACATTTAAAGCTAGAATGTAACTTGGACAACATGTCTGTAGAAGCCAGTAAGTATCTACTTTACATTCCCAAACAGACTTCTCCAATCTTGGGTCTATGCACATAGGAGTAAGCAGAGCTATTTACACATGCAGTCTTGCAGATCAGCATAATTAAGTCAGTGTGTCTCGGGCAGAAGTAAACTACTTGCCCACTGACCAAGGAAGAAGTGCCCTCTATCACATTGCCTTCCTACATCACTTCTGGGATGGTACAACATGCACACCGTGCCTTGCATGAGGCTGGGCTTATATCCACAATCTAAGCCTTGCTAGATTTCTTGTAGGATAGCGGTTTTCAATCTTTTTATTTGCAGCCCCCTAAAAATACTCAAGTGGAGGAGTGGACTCCTTTGGAAATCTTAGACATAGTCTGCAAACTTCCAGACTTCCATGGACCACAGGTTCAGAATCACTATTTTAGGCTGAGCTCTTTAGTGTTTGCTTCAAGGGAGTTTCACTGTCTGTGTATAGTCTGCAAAATGGACCTTCATTTTGAAGTAAAAAGTTAAAGTTATTTTGTGATTGAGGTACGTGGACAGGCCTAAGCTATCAGTGCTTTCCAGAGGCTCCCCCTTTCATGAGCCTTCAGAGAGCTAAAATGTATGGTGGACCATCTTGATAATCTAACTGGTCTTTGTTATATTTGTCTGCAGAGAACTGAAGTAAAGAAGCAAAACCATGTTAAGACATGATAATTTGCAGAAAATATTACAGGGAGAAATTCTGTTCTTTCTCCTTACATCCCAGTTGTGTGATACCAATGCACTACCATGAAGAAAGGCACAATAGGAAACTGGAAGTGATGTAGATAACAGTTAGCATAGTCACTAAAATATGAATCTGCTGCATTGTATATTTTAAGTGGTTTCTATGAAATTACATTGAAAGAGTAATGATTAGTTTACACACTGTGCAATTGTTACATTTTGGAAAGACAATATTCCCTTTTTAAAAACAAATTCTGCTGAGTCCTTTCACAAGTGTCAGTGCAAAATAAGTCACTTAAGTCATTCAGCCTTACCACAAATTCACTTCCATTTCCTGTAGACGTTTAAGTCTATTTTTATCTTTATTTAATGATATCTTCAGCCATCTTTACTTTATAACCTAATCACAAACACTGTTACATATTTGATTCTCTGGGTTTTAGCATTGTATTTTTTCCTAGCAATTGACCTTGCCTCTTCTCCCTGAATGATAACTTCATAAATGTGTTTGGCACATAAATGTCTACAATTCCTGGCCCAAAAGTCCCTTTGTTTGTCATGAAATATGTTTTATATTTTTCTTTAATGTTTAAAAAGTACATTTTAAACAGTTTAATCTTTTACTTATTTATTATAACTTTCCAGCACATTCCAAATTCTAAGTTGCTCAGGAAGAGGTTGATTTAAATTATTTTATTTTGGTTTGATGGATTTCTTTTTTCAAAAACAAAAATCACTGTTATAAACTTTTAGCCCACAACAACTATGCAGTAAGTACCATATATGTACTTGTAAATTTTGTGGGGAGGAAAAGGTACTTGCCATCAATTGAAAATATCTGTACATTAGCTTAGTTTTAAATTAAAGCAATCTGTGTTTGGCGTGAACAATTATTTAACTTGTTCACTACCCTTTCTAAAATTCTGACATTAAAAAAAAAACATGTAGAAGGATAGGGAGGGAGTTGTTTATTGTGATGGGGGATTTTGTTTGTTTGTTTGTTCACGCCAGTGATGTTTGAAGATGCAGCAGTGTCTGCTGTTCTATTCAGCTTTATCGTATCTTGTTTGGTTCCTTCTCACTATTGCCTGTTTGGTTGCCTAGTCTGGATATAATGCCAATGGATGGCACTTCATCTGGAATCTCACCCTGTAGAACTACAGCATAATTTATGATCTAAAAGACCATACTGCAAGAGTGATATTCAGGGTGGCTATTCTACACCTTGATTTGCCTTGAGGTATAAAGCCAAAGGCTCAGTTACTTTAGCCACCTGAGAAGTGCAATAAACATCCAGAAATGCACTTCCTGGTGTGCTTTGTTGCTGTGAAATGGAACACATTTTTATGTACAAAGGGAAACAACTTAGACCCATACACTGCATTTTACTAGATGTTACAGACAAAAGGTCAGATTATATTTGATATCCAGAATGGAAAGCTCTAGTTGTGTCCACAATCTAAAGGCATTGCATAATGTAAACGAATCACCAGTGGCAGTGCTTTCATGCTAAACAGAAAACAAACCATTGTTATAGTTCCACATTCTGAAAAAAATAAATTTTGGTTATAAATGTCAAGCAATAGTGATGAATGGTGTGTGTGTGTGTTACTGTTTGTTTCTCTTCCATGTGCATGACTGCATCAGACCATCTAAAGTGCATGAGGAGGAGCAACTCAAGATAACTGAACATGTGTAAAATGAATGGTACATTTGGAGTATTTCAACTTGCTTTAAGTTCTTTGAACCTGGTTTTTGTGATGAATTATTTGGGGGTGGGGGGTTGTATCGTTCAGTGATCAGTGCCATAAAAATGTTAAATGGAATGAAAAAATTCAACCATTGTGAATAAATCTTCAGATTCTAGTTGCTAAAAGCAATTGAATTCTGATTCCTGTCAGTATTTATTACAGTAAAATTAGTTTTAATGGGAAGGCACACTATTTGTACTGATAGGAGAAGCTAGGTTGAATGGTGTTTTGTACACTCATACCCCCCAAAAATAAAGTTAAACTCCTACACAAAATAAAGCCCTGACATTCACAACTAAGGTTGAATGGTGCTTTGTGTTTTTCTCTTAACTTAAGAAAGAAAACCTGTAGTATTCCATATCAGTAGCCCCAGCCCTGCAGTATCATTACTGTAAGCTGGAATGTTTAGGATCTTTGCAGTACAATACCATAGCATTTTGTCTTTTTTTTAAAGGAATCAATGCACAGATGTCCACAGAAAATAATTCAGCATCCTGTTTGCACAAGCAAAGCAAATACTCAGCATTCTTATTTATAAATTGTCATCAATGTACTTGATCCCATGTTCAAAATGGAGAAAGTTTACAACCTTATCATAAGGAATTTTGGTCATAGAGCCCAATCTTGTAAACCACTACCAGCCTCAGCGCTTACTGCAATGAAATCAATGGAGCTCCTCTCTCTGGTAGACACAGCTCACTTTTCAGTGTTTGAAAGTTTAAGCCCTTGTTCAGACACAAACAAAACAGTTAAAATGTGCATATCACACTGGAAAAGAAGCTCAGTGGAAATTACCCTTAACCTGCAAAACTTGAATATTAGAGGAAGAATCTCATCTGAAAGATTTTTGTATGTGCCAAATCCTCTGCTGGCATGAATTGGCATAGTGCCATTGGTCTGGCTGTCTCACTTATAACTCATAAGCTCTCTGATGCATTTGCTTCAAATTGTCCAAAAATTGATGCACTGCTTAACTGTGTCATGGAGTGCACAGAGTGAATTTTTATAGTTTTCTGAAGGAAGTGTGTAAGTCTGATTCGTATTTAAGTGATTATTGGAGAATCTAGCTGTCTTAAAAGAGGAGCCAATGAGAGCAGGCTTTATGCAAACTTTCTTCACATAGTCCTTTCAAAAAACCTCTTCTGTAAAAATACATCTACACAGCAGGTCTAAAGTCAAATTAAACTACGCAACTTCAGCTACGTCTATTGCGTAGCTTAAGTCAAAATAACTTAATTCAGCTTTTGGCACTGTCTTCACAGCAGGAAGTTAAAGGAAGAACACTTTCCCTTCAACTTCCCTTACTCTTCGTGAAATGGGAGTTACCATAAGTCAGCTTGACATTATTTCAAAATAAAGGCTTGTAGTGTACTGTTATTTCTGAATAATATCAGTTATTCCAAAATAACACTGCTGTGTAGATATATCCTACAGGCTTGTGTATGCTACAGAGAAGATCACAGCTGCCACAATCGATCTTTCAGGGTTCGAATTAATAGGTCTAGTGAAGACATGCTAATTTGAGCTGAGTGTGCACCCATCGACCTCCTGCTGTGTGGATGACACCAAAGCACAATTTAAGATACTTAGACTCTAGCTACATAATTAACGTAGCTGGAGTTGCATATCTTAAGTCTACTTTCCCCTCTAGTGTAGACCAGGCCTAATAGTCTTTTCATTCCAGTTTGGTGTCTCTTGAACAGACATGCAAATGGCAATGTGTTGTACCCAGCTACATGGAAGCTTGTGCTGAGAAGAAATGCAATGATTAGGGTAAGAGCAGGGAGGATAGGTTGTCCAGTGATAAGAGCAGAGGTCTGAGAACTAAGACAATGTAAGGGTTCAAATTCCAGCAGAACCCTTTGACATTCTTGGTAAAATTGGGTAAAGTGGGACTGTGTATTAAAACCTAATGCTGCTTCCGGTATGAGCTTCACGGAGGTGTAGGGTTTTTTTGGTTTTTGTTTTAACATTTTCCTATGCACTTGAAAACTGCTGACTTGCCCAATAAACTTTACTAAGTGTTCTTCTCAAGGAGACAGCCTTCACCAGTGCACGATGGCCAGCAACTGCTTTGAGTCATGGACCTGCCTCAACAAAGTGTACCCATGTTGATCTGGTACTGCCAACTCATTACCTCCAAATTTAGTGCTAGAGACAGAGACTTGGAATTAAATACTAGTTAATGTTTGCACAACACTTCCAAATTGTAAAGTGCACTATACTGCAAATTCAAAGTATTATTGGGTAATAGCAAGCCTTCGTTCAAACCATGCCAAGATGATATGGGAAAGTTAGGCCATGTCTACATGGTGAAGTTAATTTAAATTAAGGTAAAGTGTAAATTTGAAGCAGAATATCTATTTCTAATGCCCTGTGTAAGTACTCTGATTCCAGAATAAGAGTGCCTTATTCCACATCAAGGTAATCAGCATTAATTAATCAGAAATAGATATTCCAGACCAGGTCCCCGTGTAAACAAGCATTTAGAGTCTCAATGATGAAAGGAACAGTGTAGGGGCCCAAACTGACCAGTTATTGTAATCTCCCCATTCTAGTTGTGATTCTCCACAGCAGAAAGGTATAGGCTCAGGAAGGTGATTGAAAGCCAACTCCAGTGTAAATTAGCGCAACAGGGTTGCTGCTATACCAAGTCTGCATAAGCAAAGTTCCTCATACACAGAGGAAATTCTCATTTGGAAATCTCTGGGCTACATTGTGTAAGCAGAAGGAAGGAGGGTGCATCAACCATGCCATGTGCTCTTATCAGGTGACAGAATCCAGCCCTAAATATCACAAGCGATTCCAAAAGAGGTTACTTTTAGTTACCCAAAAACAGGGGTAACTAATGTCAGGCTTCTAAATTCACAGTTGGGACTAAACTGTGGGGGAGATTTTTCCAAAGAACAAATAGCAGATAACCACAGGATTACCACTGAAATCAATGAGCAAGTTTTGTTTTTATTTTAACTTTCTCCACCCATTTTAGAGTCAGGCATGTTTAACTATAAACTATACCAGCTACATTTCCCAAGATCCATTGATGAATCTATCTAACTTAGGCATTTTTATGGCCCCACATTTTCATAGTATCTGAGTGCCTCACAGTCCTTTGTATTTGTTCCTCTGTAAGGCAGGGGTGTTTTATTAATCTCCATTTAACATATAAAGAACTGAGGCACAGAATGACTAAGTGACTTTCCCAAGGTCATACAGGGAATATGTGGCAGAACAAAGACCTGCTCCTGTGTCTTCCAAGTCTCAAATTTGTGTCTTAACCAAAGGATCAACCCCTCTCACTTTTGATGGCCACTAGCTTTTAAAAGGCAGATCACTGGTATTGAGTAATTTTTAATAAGTGGCTTTTTTTTTTCATTCAGCAATGTAGAATTCTAAATGTGGGGAATGAGACCCTAATGGGACAGATAGCTATTGTCCTTTATAATTAGCTGCTATTAGTTATTCTCTCTTTAGAGTTTAAATAATAAACATCCAGACAAACAGCTCTAGGCAATTGCAAATGACTTCAAACAGAACAAGAAGATAGTCTATGCAGCCAAAGAGTTTGCAATGTAAATGTTGTATTAAAAACAAGTTACTGACACCTAAAAAGTGCATGTGCCTGAAGTTATCAATCCTGTGCTCAAACAGCTGTAACTCTCACCTTCACTTACCCTACCCCACCCTTGCTGTATGTTTGACCTCACATGCTATGTCGCACCTCTAGCATAGAGTGTATGCTCTTTGGAGCAAGAACTATCTCTTTACAGGGAAGCAGCTAACACATTTTATAAGTGAAAATGGGCACAGTCTAAAATTCTGCATCTTCCTCCCCTCCCCCCAGTACTTTTTGGAGGAAAATATAGAATCTGAACTTAGCTCTACATTTTGTTGTTGGTGCAAGGCTTGCCTGGGATAAACCTAATACCCCTTAATCTCAACTCTGTATGTGTTTAAAATCCGGTTTCTGATCCACATATTGTATTTGTGTCCATCTCTCTTGATACAATTCCTGCAAGGAGAGACCAATTTAACCCCTTTATTTTTAAGCAAAAAGTCTGAAATGTGCACAAATGCCAAGTAACATTGGCAGCCTAGTACATGAGAAGAGGAAAGGAGTTTCACAGATATCTGTCCCAAAACCTGGGTGCACAAGCCTCTCAGTTCAAGAAGCAGGAATTAGGATTCTGGGAGTGGAGGGTGGGGATGGGAGCAGAGCCGATTTCTCTATAGCACTGGTTCCCAACCTGTGGTCCAACGGCACTGTAGGGAGTCCGTGGAAAGTTTAAAGTAGAAATTAAAATACATGTACAGAGTCTCTCACAGCCAGCAAGTCCTGCAACCCACAGCTTGGGAAGCAGTGCAAGCTGAAGGATGTGCTGGCTACCAGCATGGTGCCTCTCAGCTGAGAGGTTCAGTGATGACAGCCAGCAAGTCCTTCAGCCTGTGCTGCTTCCTGAGCGGGCTGAGGTATGCGGCTCGGGAAGCAGCACAGAATGAGGAACTTGAAGATTGTAGGGCACAGCTGTATTGTTGCGGAGGAGTCCAAAGATTGTAATAGATTGAAAAGGGATCTGTATGCTCGAAAGGATTGGGAGCCATTGCTCTATAGCAACCAGCCTGTGGACATTCCTCCCAAACATCTCATGGATATATTCATGGTGGTCCTGAGAGAATTTACTAAGAAAAACCCTAATGTCTTCTCTATGGTGGGGACAGGGTTGGACCAATGGGAGCATGGTTTCCAAGTACATTATGATGCTTTCAGGGAATAGGTATATGGAGAGCAAGGTCAAGTGCTGCCTGCGCAATTAATACCCCACAGAAGCGCTAAGATGTGTGAAATTTCCTTCCAGATCTTGACACATCTATGAGGTCATAAGGCCATGTTCACTCTAGGGACATGAAAACCCTGCTCCTCCCCATGGAAACTCGGAAACTCATGTGTGAAAACTCCCTGACTTTTCCAAATCATGCTGGAACTCCAGCAGCTTTTGCCAAGGAGAGCATGATTTGACCCCTCAATACTGGTCCGAAGCTGAGGTTTCTACAGTCTGACCCTTGTAGATCCATTGGTCCATTGGTCAGTGCTTGGGGCTCTGCGTGATAAACCTCACTGGATAAACCTCTACTTTGTTTTTTAAATATCACCATGTCAAACAGCAATGTGCATGCCTCCTTATCACTTCACACTTGGAAGGAGGAGAAGGAATTATTGTGTAGTCGTCTCTTTTTTTCCAAAACAGTATCCTGTGAATCAACGGAAAATAGCTCTTTGCTTCTCTGAGGAAAATGAAGCTAATGTTTCCTTTTTAGCTAGGGGAGAAAAGTAGCTGTTCTGAAATTCTATTTTATTTTATTAGTGACTAATTAGCATTTATATACAGTTGTTCATCCTGAAGGAGCCAAAACCCATCTCAGA